AAATTGACAAATGGGATCTAATTAAACTAAAGAGCTTCTGCACAGCAAAATAAACTACCATCAGAGTTAACAGGGGTTTTATACTCTCATGCTAGTCCACACTTGACCTTTAGCAATTCATTAACAATTTTAGCTGAATTCTTACCAGCGTATGAGGTACTTGATGTCTCTTCTTCAGTGCTCATGTCCCTTTGCTCCTTTGCCAGGCCAGTCTTTCCTTGGATTTCAAGCTACTGTATTGGTCTGTGACTTTAGGTAGGGTGACCAGTTGTTCCAGTTTGCCTGAATCTGAGGAATTTCCCAGGATATGACTTTTAGTTCTAATATGGGGGAAGTCCAGTTGGTCTTCCTAACCTCAGTCCTCTGAGTTTCAGGAAAAATTATTTCGTAGTTTTCTGGTTGTTGGCATAGGAGCGATGCTCTTTCTAGGTTTCTACATCCTGGGCAGAAGACAAATTACTGAAATATTTATGCATGTTGAATATGGACAAAAGTGGCACTTGAGATAGTGAGAAACCATACGGGGGAAACATCTGTTTCTTACTAAAGCAGGGGGGTGCTTGTGAAATCTTCCCTAAAATAGAGAATAAGCAAAATCATTTCAGTATCTGCCATTCTTTTGTCTGTCAGCATCAGATTTATCTGATTACCTAAATGAACGCTCGTTGAAGAGCTGGGTCCACACCTATTTCTTCTACACCTGTAGTCAGCATTCAACCAGCACCAGACTTACACTTTACCCCCAGCAACTGAGCATCAAAAATCTTTTGCTAGATTTTTGAGCAAAATTTTTTTCAAAATAAAAATCTGTATTCTCTCTCATCAGAGAAAGATGGCTGAGTGTAGCAGTAATCTTCGAATATTAATATTGACCATTTCTGGGTGAATAAGCCCATGTGTGTACACATGCATGTATAATCTTGTTATCAGCTGCCTGGGGGCATATTTGGTTTATGTTGCCGTGGGCAGTACCTCTGGTATTGTGTTTTTTATTTCAGATATTGTGGGAACCAGGAGTATTTCTGACTCCTACAATCATCACTAATGGTTATGTGGTAGGCAACCTCCAGGAAATGCTCTGTATCTGGTGTGATGACGAAAGCTTTATCATGTACTCAATTACTCTTTTGAGCATCCTTGAGTATCCAAGAAAAATATAACCTCTTGAGGAGCTTATGGTCTGTGTATGTGATATCTTCCTATTAAATAGTCAAGATAGTGACATTAGTACAATAGAATCAACACAGAAATCTTAAAACTGGGAACATTTATAATTTCAACAACTGTAGGCTTTATACAGCTGTAGATATAAAAATAACAGCTAAGACCTGTATTATGTTTTTTATGTGCCAAGCATTGTCCTAAATGTTTTATACTCATTACTACACTAAATCTCTACCTATATAAGCTTCATAACAACCCTATGGTGTTGAATGTTATTATCCACATATTACAGATTAGAAAAATAAGGAACAACAGGGCTAAGAAATGTTTTCAAGGTCACACTAATAGCAAGTGGTGGCAGTGAGACTTGAGCCTGTGCAGTTTGTTTCCACAGTTCTTTTTTTTTTTTTTTCCTTAATGAGAAGGAGTCTCACTCTGTCTCCCAGGCTGGAGTGCAGTGCCGTGATCCTGGCTCACTGCAACCTCCGCCTCCTGGGTTCAAGCAGTTCTGCCTCAGCCTCCCAAGTAGCTGGGATTACAGGCACCTGCCACCACGCCTGGCTAATTCTTGTATTTTTAGTAGTGATGAGGTTTTACCATGTTGGTCAGGCTGGTCTTGAACTCAAGACCAGGTGATCCGCCCGCCTCAGCCTCCCGAAATTCTGGGATTACAGGCATGAGTCACTGTGCCCGGCTCTCCAGAGTTCTTTTTAACCACTGTGACAGTGGTCGCAAATACAGAAGACAGAAAATATTTCAACTTGCAGGATGATGTAGAGAAAGTGAGAGTTGTATATGTGAATAAAAGCCTTTTAAATACCACTTTGATTTTAGGCCATGTGCCAACCAAGGAGGTACAGAAAGCTGAAGGAGAACTTGCTAAGGAAAATAAGTTAGCAAGTGGTACAGTGATGCCCTGGGCTCATAAGTCAACAAACAGCATGAAATATACAGACAGTTGTGCCCATTTGATAGAAATGTCATGTGACGCAGATGACTCAGTAACAGTGGAAGTGCTAAAAAAAAAAAAAAAAAAAAAGAAAAAAACTTGGAAGAACAGCCCTACCTCTGCATATAAAATACTTGAGTACTTTCAGTTTCAAAATTAAAGATTGCTCAGAAACTACTTGCCATACAGAAGAAATTTAGGATGAAAATTTTTATCAAATGATTGAGAATGTGTTAGGTCATTCTTAGATTGCTATAAGGAAATACCTGAGACTTGGTAATTTATAAAAAGAGGTTTAATTGGCTTGTGGTTCTACAGACTGTCTAGGAAGCATAGCACTAGCATCTGCTCTGCTTCTGAGGAGGCCTCAGGGAGCTTTTACTTATGGCAGAAGGTGAAATGGGAGCAGCCGCGTCACATGGCAAAAGCAAGAGTGAGAGAGAGAGTTGGGGAAATGGAAGTACCACACACTTTTAAATTACCAGACTCACAAGAACTCTGTCACGACGGCAGCGCCAAGCCACGAAGGATCCATTCCCACAACCCAGACACCTCCCACCAGGCCCCACCTTCAGCACTGGTGATTGCAATTCAGCATGAGAATTGGGCGGGGACAAATATCCAAACTATTAGGTTGGTGCAAAAGTAACTGTGGTTTAATACATCAGAGAATAAAACCAATGAATGGAAAGTAGAAAGAACTTTGCTTTGAAGATGACATCATGGATGTGATCAACTCATGTGAATCAAAGTAGATTCACAAATGAGTAGAATATCTCACAAACCCTGAGACTGGTTCTTGTAAGAGAATACATAGGAAAGACAGGACAGTCAACAAGAATATTCAAAGCATTTGGCGAGGGTGGAGTAGGATGATTGATTTTCAAGTCAACTGATTATTACAACAAAATATATGTAGGAGATGAAGTATTTTAGCCTAGCCCAAGGGAAATCACTAATATCCTCTCTATACTTACTGGGTAACCTAGATGATACAATATAGCTCTTATTAAGTGGCACTTATTTATGTGTGAATCTGATATTCTCACAGAGGCACAAAAAAAAAAAAAAAAAAAAAAGCTGGGGGGTGGGAGGGTATAGTGGTGACCTGGGAGTAGGGAGGAAAACTCAGATTGTGTTAAAAGATACAATGCAGAAATTTTGTAGGTTGGTTTCTTAAGGTTAACTTTATAGTCCAAAAGGTAGAGAGGGTTGATAATCCAGTACAATTTGTAGACATTAATAAAAAGATACTCCATACTTTGTGCTTTACTGTAACACATTTTATCCTTAAGACAAGGTAAACAACCATTTAATGTAACAAGCTTAGCTAAGTCTTGATAATTTAGAATTTTCTACTCAAAATAATTGAGTGAGGATGTCCTTTTGTAGAACGAATTACATGTTTAAGGTATTGTTGTCAATGAGGAGGAGGAGGAGCACTGCTGTCCTAAGATCAACTCTATTCTGAGGCCATGGTTATTCTTTTGTTTAAAAAAAAAAAAAAGATTATTACTTTCCAAATAGAAGTATCCCGGAGAACACTGGGTTTGAGGCTTGGTGAAGGTTACATTTTGAGTAAAGGACACAGAGGACATTGGATTGGCAGTGTTCAGTGTGTGTGGTTTTTCATGTCTCCCCAAATCCTCCCAGGAGATGTATTTAGGCTGCTAAAACCCACTGTTTTACCTGCTCAGGAAGCGAGCTTATCAAACATCTTTTATCCTCAAGTATATTATCTTGAAATTGCAGCGTATTAACTCACATGGTTGCAAAAACTGCCTTTCACTTGTCTGACCATCTGGATCTAACATTCAGTATCCATGAACAATCCTTGCTAAGCTATCATCATATCATCACTGTCTTGCCACATTGCCTGCAGTTGATATGATAATGATTAGGCATCATAACATAGAGTCATTTTGCAACAGTGGAAGGAGAGGACGTTGTAAGGGATGTGTGCATACAGCTCTCTGCAAGCAAGAGGTATAATGGGGCTGAGCAAAGCAACAGGTATAATAGGGTCCGGCCAAGTGTTACCACATAAATGGGGAGACGTATCTGGACTTCAGATGTGTTGTGATGTTTACAGGCATAACAAAACCCAGCTGCATATTTTTTTGTCATAGCCTCAGCCAGTAGCTTGCCACAGGGAGGCGTTACACACAGACCTTGCTGTGGGAACTATTTGGTTGTTCAAATACCTGTCTAGTACATCACCAGGCATAGGCAGCTACTGACTAGCTGCCAGAATCAGTAACTATAATAACTGTTATAGGCCAGGCATGCTGGCACATGCCTGTAGTCCCAGCTATTCAGGAGACTGAGGCGGGAGGATGGCTCAAGGCCAGGCATTTGAAGCTGCAGTGAACTAGGATCATGCTACTGTGCTCCAGCATGGACAACAGAATGAGACCCTGTCTCAAAAAGAGAAAGAAATGTATATTAAAAAGCTGTTATAATGGTTTCCTCACAAACGAAAGGTGAGGAGGGCTTGTATAGTAACTATGTTGATACCATGAATCAAAAAATGGCAAATATTACTGTTTTTTGAAGTTTTTGGAAGAATCTAATTCCCAAAAAGAGCCTATTTTTCATAAACACAAGAAACAGGTGTACACATCCCAGATTTTATTAATGTTGTTCGAGGGTTTGTGAGTGGGAATTCAAAAGCAAGCACAGGCTGCACTGCTCAGTTTAATATTATATATTTCAATTTTTTTTTGTCATTGCCTCTCTTTCTGCAAAAAGACTTCCTATATTTTCTCTTAAGGTTTTCACAAATTTCAGGCCAATTGATGAACACTACTTTCACCCACAGGTAAGGTTTAACTGAAAATAGTAAGATCTTACTGTTGCTCTTACACACTGGATATTTTCTTTTCAGATTTTATTTGGAGAGAAGCAAGCATCTTTGCCTCTTTGGAGTAGGAAATTCTGACTTGGAAAAGGTAGGATTTTCTTCCTCTTTTTTTCAACTTGTGAAAAAAATTAAAGTGTAATTTTCAAAAGTGGACACTTTGTTAAAAATTTAAGATAGTTTATTTTTAGTTTTGTAGATACTTCTAAATTAGGGATGAAGGCTGTAGATAGTATATCTGAATTTTAAGCAATGCTTTAAATATGGTTTTCAGAAACTTAAACTTTTCTCATCTTAATTTTCAAAACTATTTAATTTTGTGAACTAATTACATTTCAAACTAAAGTGAAAGGAGTTATGTCTTGGAACTTGACAAACTTTTACATTTTATACTTTAGGCACTGATTATAAATGAAGGTGGCAGTATGATGGTAGACAGGATTTACGCCATGACATTTGAACTACATGATTGAATGGAAAAGGGAAACCAGTTATCTCATTATACATTAAAATAGGCACTAAAGTGTAAATGTGTAGTTTAACAATGACACCTGTATAATTACTACCCAGGCTAAGAAGTAGAAAATTACCAGCATTCTAGGAAATATATGCATATTGCTTCTAAGTAACAGCCCTTCTCCTCCCCACAGGTGACCACTATCTTTACCTGTATACTAAAATTCCTTTTTTCATACCAGTGGTTCCCAAAGTTTGGTCTGGCATCAGCTTCATCTGGGAATCTGTTAGAAATGCAAATTCTTGAGTTCATTCTCTGATCTATTACATTTATGTATTTTTTATGGGATGCATATTTATATGATAAAATATAAAGCAATGATTCTCAAACTTTAACATGTATCAGAATGACCTGAATGGCCTTTTAAAACACAGATGCTGGGTCCTACCTAGAGTTTCTAATGATCTCTTTCTATTGTCTGTTTTAATCATTGATTCCAATTTTCTTATATGCTGGATGTTTGACCTTCTGCTAGTCATTGCACTTGAAATGTCATTTTGTGGAAATAATTGTCTGGCCTACAATTAAGCTACTTTGCCCCAAAGATCACACGTATTTGCTTTTGTTGGGTACCTGCAGGTACTACAAGTTTGGGTCCACCTGTTCAAAGTTTGATATTTCCTGGACAACTCAGAGGAGTCTCATCACATTCAGATTATTACAATTCTTGTTCACCTTCACTCTGAAATTTTGGATCCCAGATTGTTGTAGGAGAAGGTCTCCTGACAGACTCCCTAACTTTTATGAACCCAGGGTTTTGTTTTCAATCTCCTCTGTACCCTGAAAGGCTGTCAAAATGGAGGTCCTAATGTTCTGGGATTAGCAGTGCTTTCAGTGAAAAAGTGGCTTCAGGCTTGTTTACTTCTCTTGATTCTTTGCTTCTCTTTACTCCTGGCCTGATAATTCCTTACTATTTTGTAATCTCTTTGAGGCTTTTTAAAAGATTATTTGAAATATATTTTACCCAGTTTTCTAGTTGTTTTGTTTTCAGCTGTCGGACTGACCTAAATAACCTAGGCCACCGTTACTAGAAATGGAAAATAAATTAATAAGGCACAGTATTTTTCAAAGTACTGTGGTTTTTCAAAACATTAAAAAGCAATAGATGGGCTGGGCATGGTGGCTCAAGCCTGTAATCCCAGCTACTTGGGTGTGTGAGGCAGGAGAATTGCTTGAACCTGGGAGGCGGAAGTCGCAGTGAGCCAAGACAGCGCCATTGCACTCCAGCCTGGGCAACAAGAGTGAAACTCCGTCTCAAAAAAAAAAAAAAAAGCAATAGATGTTTATATTTTTGGGAACAAAAAGTTCTTTTTGTTAGTCTACAACTTTAATCAGACATGGGACACACAAGATGGTTTGGATACAAAAACCCTTTTTTGTTAAAAGATTCCCAGAGTTCCATATTTAAAAATATTTTATGACCTTTAACCTTATGACCTTAAATACTGATATAACCTTTAACCACTCCAGAGTGCTCTGATATTTACACAGTGGGTTCCAGAAGTGCTTCCCACAACTTCAGAAAGCCTCACAAAATGCAGAGGTGTGCCTAGTACAATATCCACTTCACGATTCGTGATACTGATATCAAACACTAGGGTCTCGGTCTAGGTCCCATTGCTTGCCGCACGAAAAGAAGCAAGTGTTGCCAGGGAAGGCTTTATTATTTTACAGTTGATGTCAACCAGAGAGAACAGAGCCAAACCTCAAATCCATCTCCTTGCTCCAAGCAAAGTTAGGGGTTTATATAGTGAGGAAGGAAAACAGGAGCGCAAGGAAGAGGAGTTGATCAACAGGCAGCAGGTGGTCGAATGGGGGATCTAGTATCTCACTGTAACCACGTGCACAAAGACAGTGATTAGGGCTGGGTAAGGAAGAGGAAGTGGTCAACAGGCAGCAGGTGCGTCTCGGTCTGGGTGCAGCGATTCAGAAAGCCACAAGATGCAGGAACTCCCAGTTCCGAGCTACAAATAACAGAGGGTGCTTTTCACATCACACAGAGGCTTTCTAGCCATGGCACTTCTTAAGTTACAAGGCAAGTTATGGCCAACCTCCATCCAACCCTTAGTTGATAACTTATGTTTAAAACAACATATTGACCTTTAAACCAATATGACACCACCATTATTACTTTCACACAACTTATCTCTTAAAAATCAAAATATTGCTCTCACAAGTATAAAATTTCTTAATATAAATTTCCATTTCTTATTATAAAATCCTACTTTATGAAAAGATGTGAAGAGCCAGGACCACCATGAAGCCCACTCAGTTTAACCACTTCCTTATAGATATATCTTATTGCATCCCATGTGTTTTGTTGTCTGGGATATAGGTATTTTCCTTACATAGTAGCACATGCTCCTTCTGTCTTCCTAGCTAGAATATGATCTAAAGACATGTGATTTTAGACCACATTTATTATGGCTACCATTTCTTTGGTATTACTTTTGCATAGCTGGTCATATATAATAGCTGTATCACTGATTGCTGAGGTTGCCCAGTCAACTGAACTTTGGAAATTACATAACAAATTCTGTTTCTGAGCCTAATAAGAATTTTGAGGAACCATTTAATGGCCCTAGTTGTCTAGTTATGCCCAAATAGCTGCCACTACTGTATTCCTCAGGCAGCCATTGGTGTGCCCATGACCCCTATATCCAGTAAGTAGAAGAATGAGGAGTGGGCCTATACTTTTTGCCAAAATCCGGAGTCCAATTTTTGATATTCAATGTAGATGTTAAAGAATGGGACCCTTATGAGCACCCTGATGTTACAAGCACTAGTGCCTATTCCCGTGAACTCTCAGAATCATCTAGATATGGCTGAAGATTATGCTTAGGACAGCAAGGGTCAGGAAATGTATGTCTTGGAGTTTAAGGATAGATCATCTTCCTGGCAGCTCCAGTTAAATGGCCGAGTATGATTGCATCTGATAGAGATTTGATAAATCTCATGAGCCTCCATCTCCACATGTGCTTTCTTTCAACTGCAGCAGGCCTTCCATTTATGATCACTTAATAAACTTCGTCTTTGCATAGGCTATCCAGGTTCTAGAATTTGCCCAGTTTTTAACTTGGTACCATGATTCCCCATCTCTCAGTTTTCTAGAATGAAGCGCGTATCTCCAGTACTTGGGATCTATAGCACACTGTATTTGTAGCCTCTAGACTAATTATATAACTTGGCATATAGCCAGAGGTATGTGATTCAGTATTTTCTTGAGAAAATTTAACTCCTGCAGGTCCTCTGAATCACCCGAGATGTGTAGGGCAATAAGTGTAATCATTCCTTTTAAGGTAAAACTGCCTTCATAACCATTACTATTGTACTAGAATGAGGACTACTGACTTACTGGCTATAAGCTTATTTCAGTTGGTATTATAACCAGTTCTTTCAGTTCTTTCACTGTCTCCAATGCAGATCAGATATCTCTTTGAGTTTCTTTTTAAAAGTTTCCATGAGAGTTAGTTCTAGCTAAGAGCTGTATGTCACTGGCATTGAACTGTCAGGAAATACCTGGTCAGAGCTCCTAGCCCAAAGCGTCTCCAAAGGTGAGCACCCTATCATCCTGTTCACTGGAAACTAGTACTTGGAATAGTCCAGTAAACTCTTTGTCCTACTGTAGTTCTTTATCTTACTACAGTAAATTTTTCTTAGAGAAGACTTTCACACAAGATTGGCTTCAAGAACCCTAACCAGTACAACCAGGGTTCCCAAGGGAGAGGATGTTAGACCCTGGGTTTGTTGGCAACCCAGTCCAGTTCTTTCCCTGCATTCTTGAAAGCTTTTTTTCTGAAGTGGTTAGAGCCAAGTAGTCACTGATAGAGATTGTGTAGAGGGAATTCAAATACAAAGGGTAGAACAGGGTCTGCTAGATAGCTAGCTAAAGTCAGCATGTGGTAAATTTAGGAAGAACTGTGATTGGTAGCTAAAGGTTCTTTGCTGCTAATGTACGGGAAGAAAATAAAAGGATTGGACAGAAATAGTAGTGTGCCTTCCCTATCTTTATCACCCATTTGTCATTTTCAGGCCTATTTGTTATTCTCTTAACCTGTAGACTCTACAAGGATACTTATGGCTTAGTTTCCAGTGTTTTATATTTCATGAAACATTTGTATCTCAACCACACCCCACCCTATACCCCAACTTACTTACCTACTTATCTGTTCCTTGCACATAAAGTCTCCTGCTCCTGGAAGTTCCCAGTGGGAAGGTGTACAAATCTGGGGACATTGGCCTCCCCACTAGGGCAGTTGTCTCAGAAGTGTCTGAAGTTTGGATATTAGGGTTGAAGGGCAGACAGTACAATTAGCACTCTTATTTCTTCTAGTATTTCCTTACCATGATATTTATGGGTTGCCCATCAGTTTGGGCTTTTTTTTTTCACCTCATTTTTCAATACCTAGACTAATAAGTATTTCTATTGAGAACTTCCTTTTTCTCTTTTTAAAATTTCCCTCTATTTTCTTTTGATTATTTTGAGAGCTGAAATTCACAGAAGTATCCTAAGTTATCTTTTCCCAAATTGTTATAGGAAAGACTGCTAGTTATCTACTCTGCTATTCATTCTTCTTCCTTTTTCTTTAGCAGAACCTGATTTGTATGGGGTTGGGGGCACCATGTACTCAGCTAAAAAGCTATAGTGCCCATCCTTCATTACTGATAAGGATGGCAGTGGAACACGGTTCTTGCCAACAAGGTGTAATCAAAGGTATTGAGAGAGATACCTAGTAAAGCTCCTTAAAAGCCAGTAGCCTCACAGCATGTAGTCTTTTGCCTTTCTTTCTTTCTTTCTCTTCTTCCTGCCTGTATGTTCGGGGAGATGCTAGACATAGAATAGACATCTCACAACAGTGAGCCATAAGAAAGAAGTAAAGATAATAACTTGGGCCACATCTGAAAAGACTGAGTTAGACACTATGTGTGAACTCAGTCAGTCAGAAACAAGTCATACTTTTTGCAGCTACCATTATCCCCATTATCTTAGGGTTAGAAAAAACTGCCTTTATCATGACAGATTCATACAGTTTGTATATCTCCAACACTGTTTGCAGTAGGACTTTACTGCCGTCATTTAATTACTCTCACAATCTGGATATAGACATTATTTTGCACTGGAATCATTAAAAATAACTCCTTGTGTCTCTGTGCCCCAGGTTCATATTCCTTAATTATGGAGGGCCCAAGATCTTTAAAGGGAGTGGTAGCATGCAATTCAGTAGATGGCAATGTGGTCAATTTTGATAATTAGATAAAAATATTAGTATGCACAGCCAATGGCTTTTAAAATAGTAATAACATGAAAGTACCATGAGGTAGTTTTACAGTGAATTGCATGTTTTAAATGTATACATGTTTTAAGTGTTGTGGGGATGAATTACTTGTTTTATAGATTTCTATTTTCAACCATATTTTCCTATTCTGTACTATTTGCCATACTAGAACACCGGAAAAGATTTAAGACCTCGAAATGTAAAGGGTTATTGAGAAAGAGTTGCCAAAAAAGGGTCACATATTAGTTAGATAAGTTGTAGTTTCAAAATAATATCTCCAATATCTCAGTTTATAGAAAGACAATATTCTGCATATACATCTGTCTTAACTGGAAGGCTCTTATAATATTAAGTTGTTAATATTGGAGCTTTTTCTAGCTAGATGGGATAATAGTTTTTTTAGTGTTCTATTGCTTTAATTTTTCTGTAATGAACTGGTATTACCTGTTTGTAACTTTTTTAAAAGTTGAAAAAAATTCCTCTTGATGGACATTTAACAAGAGAAGCAGAAGTATGCTGCTGAGAAATGAGTAGCATCAAGTCAGGAACAGGGGGAACAAAGAGGCTCCTGCCTTTGCTGCTGACCCACCAGAACAGCCATCAGACTCCTCAGACTGCTGCTGGCTCCTGAGCTGTTCCTGAGCTGCCTGTGGGATCCTGAGTGGCAGTGAGCGCTCGCTGTGACACCAAAGATCCTCTTTCTTGTCTTGTTATTTCTTCTTGTTACCCTATCCTATTCTATGTTAATAATGTCTCCGTCTCTCTCTCCCTTTCTCCGCCATAGTGGTGTGTGGTTGACTCTGTTTCTCGCCATGTCTTCTCACAAGACTTTCACCATTAAGCGATTCCTGGCCAAGAAACAAAAGCAAAATCGTCCCATCCCCCAGTGGATTCACATGATGAAACCTGGTAATAAAGTCAGGTACAACTCCAAAAGGAGACACTGGAGAAGAACCAAGCTGGGTCTATAAGGAGTCACACTTGAGATGGCACACATATTTATGCTCTATCAAGGTCACGATCACCTTACGATATCAAGCTGAAAATGTCACCACTCTCTGGATAGTTGTACATGTTTTACTCTTTTTCTATATGTTCCGTGCTAGTAGGGTGGATTCAGTAATAAATATGTGAAAGCTTTCGTTTCAGAAATGTCTCTGTCTAAAAACTGTCCCTTCATTTATTCAATAAACATCAGGATCTGTGCTATATGTCAAACCCCTGGGTAATGCTGAGGATAAATGCTAAGCCAAATAGACCTTCAGCCTGTGGTGAGAGGGATAGATGCTACTCAGATCATACAGATGTGTACAGTGGAACAAAATGAGATCAGGACTACAGAGGAAAATAAGACACAGAGGAGGCAGAGTTCCTGGGCAAGTGGGGAGACCCACTTTATGCCTTTAGCATGTGTTCAGAACTCAATACAAGTTAAGACCTATAGAAGGCACGAGTCAAGCAAGTGAAGATTGTCATGAGGAGAACAAGTACTTTAGGCAGAGGAAACAGAGTGTTCGAAGGCCTCGAGCAGCAATGAGCATTATGTATTTAGGGAAGTGAAAGGAGCATAGAAAGGAGATGGCTAGAGCATAGAAAGCAGAGGGAATGACTCTAGGTGAGTTTGCGGAGCTAAGTAAAGGCCAAATCACAAAGGGCTTTAAAAGGCATAAGAACATCGTACCTTTTTCTCCTAAGCAGTAAGCAACAATTGAAAGCTTTTGAACTGAAACCATACTTCAGTCAGGTTAGTTTTCACACTGGCTGTGTTACAGAAAATGGATTGGAGAAAGAGACAAGAATGGTATTGGATGGAAGAGGAGGCCATTGATAAAGTGCGAATATCAGTGATCAGTTAAGGGGCAGTCACAGATTTTGTCATTTATATGGCTACTCTATTTAATAGGACATGATCCAGAAGCAGTGGTAGGCCACGGTCTAGAATTTGTAACATTTCTAGCTAGCAGTCTCTGCCGGTCTTCTTCACTCTTCTCTACATGTGGGTTCTTGTGTTTGCCATAAACTTCTGGACAGTGGTCATGTCTGAGAATTATGAACTAAGAGTTATGAGGTAATCTTTTTGCTCTTCCCAAAGTATTGCAGCCACAGTTATTAAGAGAATTGAACGAGTAATGAGTGCTTATTGTGTGCCAGGAACTATAGTGGGCACTGGCATATGGAGTGAGTAAAGAGGGAGTCCTTACTTTCATGGAACTCATTAAACTGGGAGCAGATATTAAATCTTGCAAATATGTAATACAAACTGTGACGTGACTGTGAATACTTGCCTTGTCAGTTACTAAAAAAAATCTTAAGGAAATAATCTTCATGGATCCCAGTCTCAGGGCTACCTTGTATGATCATGCAGTTTGGCTGTTAGACGAAGATGGCTGGCTAAGGGAGTTAATCAGGACTACAACTCTGCTAAAATTCCACTTGCCAAGCCACACCGTTGTGCAAAGCTACATCTGCCCATAGGGAAGGATGCATTTTTCTTTGTGCTAAGGTGTCACGTAGGTCAGCTTCATCTCTCCCTCTGATATCAGGAGTGAATTCCCTATTCTCAAAATTGAATGGGAGGCTCTACCTCATAAATATGTAGCTGCCCTGAGCACAGAAGTGTATAGGAGGTGAAGGTCTAGGAATGAGTGTAATTTTATGCTTATAAAAAAATGGAGAACACTCAATTCTCCATATTCATGGTCCCATATCTGCAAATTCAATCTACCACAGATTAAAAATGTCCAAAAATTATAATACAATAATAAATACACATGAAAATATAGTATAACAATGATTTATATACTATTTACATTTTCTTAGGTCTTATAAGTAATCTAGAAATGATTTTAAATATACAGAAGAAGTGAATAGATTATATGCAAATAACTATGGCCATTTCATCTAAAGGACTTGAGCACCTGTGATTTTATTATCAGTGGAAGTCCTAGAACCAGTCCCTGGCAGATAACAAGGGATGACTGTACAAAGGCCTCAGACATAGATACATTTTAAGTACATAGATAATTTTTTTAAGTGAGCCCTTCATCTTCAGGTATTAGATCAACGTTATATAGACCTAAGACAATGTGTCCCAGTGGTGGAACAGCGGAGGAAAAATCTGGTCTGTGCATCATGAGGTGGTTGTAGTAGGGTTAAGAAAATTAAGGGCATCATACTGGGAAAGCTATGATGGAAGAGGAAGGAGGAACCCATATGTAAAATCGAGTATTGGTTTCTATTCTTTTTTTGGGATAAGAGTCTTGCTCTGTCGCCCAGGTTGGAGTGCAGTGGTGTGATCCTAGCTCACTGCAGCCTTGAACTTCTGGGCTCAAATGATCCTCCCACCTCATCCTCCTGAGTAGCTAGGATAACAGGTGTGCACCACTATGCCCAGCTAATTTTTTACTTTTTGTAGAGACAGGGCCTCTCTATGTTGCCCAGGCTGGTCTCCAACTTCTAGCCTCAAGCAGTCCTTCCACCTTGGCCTCTCAAAGTGTTGGAATTTCAGGCATGAGCCACCACACCCAGCTTAGTTTCTGTATCTTGCGTCTAGTTAATTGAACAAGGCTTTACTTCCATAATCTTAAGATTTCTGACTCAATTTTGAAATAATGGAATCTCAGCTTGGGGAGTGATCCTGCTTCTGGGAAGAATTCTGCCACAGTAAGTTCAGAAACAAAAAGCAAAGGACTAAGATTCGGGTAGCTTGAAGTTATGGCTCTTCCCAACAGTTTTATGATGTTGGACAACTGGTAAAGACCTCTCTGGGCCTTAATTATTGTATTTCACCTGAATATATCAGAGAGCCGACTTCCTCACTGAGTTACAGGCCTTGAATGAGATTGAAAAAAGCTTCATAAAATGTGAGGCAATAAAACAAGGTTTTCATAAAATGCTGCTTTAGAGTGTCAGAGGTCTGACTCTGAGCTGAGTTGAGCTGGCTGGGTTGGCTGACCCTCTCTACCTTGGTATGGTCTGTTTCTAAGTAGGGGTCTGGGCTCATCTGTCTTTAGGCTGCACCAAGGGCTGTGACTCCATGCTAGCATTGATGATTGAAACATTTTAATAATTTGTCATAAAGATCCAAGACAGTAGGTAGTTTTCTGAGTCTAATAGATTATGTTCTGAGCATAGGCCGTCTGTGACCTAATGAAATCTGAGGTCAATTATAGAGGATTTTTGCTCCATTTGATGGGACCCATAAAATTTAGGTCACTCTCAAGCACCAGCACCAACCTTAACAGAGAGCACATATCAAAAGATACAGATGTCTTTTGTTTGCCACATATCATATGAGAAAATATACCTGAAATTGTAGGATGATGTAAATGGGCATGTTCAGTATGGGTCTACATTTGATCCAGCAATCCCACTGCTGGGTATCTGCCCAGAGGAAAAGAAGTCATTATACGAAAAAGATACTTGCACACACATGTTTATAGCAGCACAATTCACAATTGCAAAAATGTGGAACCAACCCAAATGCCCATCAATCAATGAGTAGATGAAGAAACTGTGATTGATATATATATATCAATCAATACATAGATATATATATCGATATATATATATGATGGCATGCTAAGCCATAAACAGGGATTAATTAATGCAATTCACAGAAACCTGGATGAGATTGGAGACTATTATTCTAAGTGAAGTAACTCAGAAATGGAAAACCAAATATTGTATGTTCTCACTCGTAAGTGAGAGCTAAGCTATGAGGATGCAAAGGCATAAGAATGACACAATAAACTTTGGGACTCAGGGGGAAAGGGTGGGAAGTGGGTGAGGAATAAAAGACTACAAACTGGGTGAAGTGTATACTGCTTGGGTGATGGGTGCACTAAAATCTCACAAATTACCACTAAAGAGCTTAACTTACGTAACCAAACATCACCTCTTCCCCAATAACCTGTGGAATTAGAAAAATTTTTAAAAATGTGTTAGATCCACTCTTTGGAACTCAGATAACATCTCTGGAACACCCCAGTGCTTTGTTCCCAATATCCTTTCTAAGTCTGCACCAAACAGCACGGGCACTCTCCTCTCCTCATGTATCTTCCTTGATCATCGCTGAAACCTATGTAGAAGGATGAACTGGAGAGCAGAGTGGTGAAAACCCCTCACAGCTGTCTTCTCACAGCCTTTCATCAGAATGGTATCACACTATCTAATTTTCCCCATCTCAGTAGAATCTTAATTTGCATTCATTTGAGTGAGGTTGAACACCTTTTCGTATGTGTAAGGGCCGTTTTTATATTGTGTGTATGTGTGGTCTGTTCATGTTTTAAACCCATTTTCATGTTTTGAACTTTTTTCTCTCCATTTTTAAGAGTTCTTTACATATTAGGAATATTAGCCCTTTATGATGTATGTTGCAAATTTTTTCTTCAAATTTCTCAGTTGTATTTTTACTTTGTTTGTGGTATTTTTCCACACAAAAGGTTTTTTATGCAACAAAATTTACCAAATTGTTTTTATTATACCTAGATTTTGAGTCAAAATTAGAAATCCTTTCTCTATACCCATTTTTTAAATGAATTTGCCTCACGTTTCCTTCCAGTACTTGTTTCTATGCATTAATGAAATTATTGTCTACATACAAAAATCCCAAATCTTCTATAAAAATAGATCCTAGAACTAATAGGTGAGGTTAGCAAGTCATTATATATATGGCCAATATTTAAAACACAATTGAATTTCAGTATTATAAAAATAAATGATTGGAAATTAAAAAATTTAAAATACTACCATAGTACCATTTACACTACATCAAAAAACAAAATACTTAATAAATCTAACAAAAATATGGAAAGGATTGTATGCGAAAAACTGCAAAACACTGCTGAAAGAAAGCAAACTCTTAAATAATTGGAAAGATACTGTATTCATAGATTGGAGAACTCAGTAGTGGTAAAATGTCATTTTTCTTCAAATTGACCTATAGATTTAACACAATTCCAATCAGAAACATAATAGGCTTTCCTGTAGAAATGATTCTAAAATTTATAAGGAAATGCAAAGGATGTAGAATACCCGAAATAATTTTGAAAAAAGCCACAAACTTGGAGGGTTCATACTACCTGATTTTAATTGTTTTAATTTTTAAAATTTTTTGTAGAGACGAGGTCTCCCTATGTTGCCCAGGCAGA